CGAGACCTTGCTGAGGCTTCTGTGCTGTGCCAGGCAGAGGAAGTGGACTCCACTGCGCCTGAGTCCCCAGGTTTCTTGTGACCTGCCTCAGGTCACCTGCTGGCTGCCAAAGTCCAGATCAGATTGAGGTGGTCACCGTCTGCCTACAGGGAACTATGTACCTTCAGTGTGCCAATCCCAACAGCCTGTCCATGGGGACCAGTTGGGTCCCCTTTTCTAAGGAAACCTTGGCAGCTGCTGCTCTGCCCTGCTTCCAGCCACAGTGGCTCCTGCAGACAGAGGCCCCCAGTGTCGCCGCCCCTCCATGTCCACAGCCATGGCCCTCCCTCCACACAGCAGCCTCCTGGTGGCCTTCCCCAACCCTGTCACTGTCACACAATTCCAAGGACTGCTGCCAGCTGCTGTGTTCTCTCTGTCCCCATACCGAGGCCCCCATAGGGTCATGGCATGGTGCCTGCAGCCAACCCAGTGTGTCTGCTGAGTGAAAGCCCATTCCCAAGGCCTGTGACAGATGCCTGGGAGACCAGTCCCTCTCTGTTTGCCAGCTCACCTCTGGCTCCTCCCTCTTGATTCCATAATAGCAACACTGTGTCTGCGTTGCCAAGTGTGGGGGCTCTGAGGATGGCACCCACAGATCACCTAGGGCCTTGTTAACAACCAGCCAGGCCCTAGCTGGGATCTCCCAGCTGAGGTGGTGTCATTGAGCCTGGCCTGCCAGGTGCAGGGAGGGTGTTCCCATCAAGGACAGCATGGAGTTAGGATATGGGTCTGAACAGTCCTGTCTCTGGGCTGTGTGTGCCCCGCCTCATGTTTTTTCCTCACAGGGACCCCCACAGGGTAACTATACCCATTTCCCTACCTACTCTAAGCTTCCAGAGATGGCTTGAGTCACCTCCCCCTGGTGCCAGGCATCCGTGCATCACATCCACACCCCTGCACCTGTGTGCACATGTGAGGCCAGGCTGCTCCTGGCCACCTGTCACCTGATCCCTGGCATCAGATTTCTCACTGTCCCTTTGTGAGAGCCACAGCAGCCTGTCCCTGGGGAGACACAGGCCCTGCCTGCCAGCCGTGCAGCAGTGTTCTCTCAGGGAGCTCAGGTTTGTTCCTGATGGCCCTTCCTCATTCCTTGTGTGACCAGGACCTGCAACCCATGTCTTGGCACCCCTCGACACCAGGCTGGTGAAGGCAGTAAGAGAATGGGACTGGGCTCTTCTTCCAGAGCAAGGCAGGCCTAGGGGTGTGACTCAGGTGGACGCCTTGCCCTCTCTGACTAGCTTCCCTGTACAAAATGGATATGGAAATGTGTCCATCTCATGGGGCCAGCCACAGAGCTGGCTAAATGAATTTGTCTCTGGAAAGCACTTGGGTTAGCTGGGTGTGGTACGTGCCTGGAATCCCAGTACTCAGGCTGACTAGGATCATGAGTTCAAGGAGGCCTGTGCTTTATAAGGAGCTCCTCTGTCTAAGAAAAGAAAAAGAAAAAGCAGAAGCAAGGGAGGGTTCTGAAAGACCTAGAAGAAGCTCCCCTGCCATCTTTTTCTCCAGCTGTGTCCTGCTGATTGACAGCCAGTGACTTCTCGGGTTTCCTCATCACTTAGCCCTGAGACCATGGATGCTCATTTGTCGCAGTCCTGGAAGGACAAGGATCAGAAAGTGAATCTAAGTAGTCACCCCTACAGGTCCACCCATCCCCAACATGACATTTTTTTGAACACATATGCACACATGCACGCATGTACACACACATACACACACACAAACTCTCCTCTCATGAACATGTGAATGGCAGCCTGAGCTTGCCTTGGAATCCAGAGTGTTGGACTTGAGTGGATACCCCTGAGGGGTGCTCCACAGAGCCCCTTGTGTACAGTGGCCTTCACTGCATGCCTGTGTTCTGCTCAGCAGATGCTTTTGGTTGCCTGTCTTGGGAAGCTGTGGAGCCCAAGAGTTGCCTTCAGGGGGAAGGAAATGGGACAGGAGATACTGGAGCATGTGGCCCATCACTTGGGGCCATAGCAGCACTTCTGTGCCCCCTGCCCTAGGAATCTAGTCCCAGGCTAGCCAGCCCCCCACCCCACCCCCCGTGGGCCTCTGTGCTTTCTCTCCCTGCATTGGACTGTGTGTCCCCCTAAGCAGCTGACTGGTCAACAAAATGTCAGAGAGAGGCTCCCAGAGGACACCCCCCTCAGACCAGCTGTCAAAGCTACTGTGTCTCTCTTCTGCTTTGTTTAAACATACTGCAGGGTGATTAAACATCAGGGGCACAGTTCTGTCCCCAGGCCCTTCCTGCTCCCTCTGCCCTGGAAGATCCTGGAAGCCTACCCATTGGAGATTTCCATTTTCCTGGACCAGGATGACGGATGCCCACTTCCTTGCCTCCTGGCCCACATGGCCTTTCCCACATGAGTCACATTGCGATGACAGTGAGCAGGCATTGCTAGGGGCATAGCTGGCACTGCAGTCATACCTGTGTGCTCCCTGTGTTGGGCTGGCCGGCCTTTTCCTCTGGGTGGCAGCTAGAGTGATGGGTGCATACTGATGCAGAGCAGAGCCCGCTCAGAAAGACCGTCCTGCTGCACCGTCTTTTCTCAGTCTTCTCACCGTCTTCTATCTTGACTCCCCCGCCCCCCCCAGCTGACAGGCTACAGGTCAGAGCTCAGCAAACCACTCCATTCTTGTCTGAGTGATGGCTGGTGCTGGGCAGGCTTTTGGCTTTGGAGGTTGCGCTGCCAGCGAGATTCATTGACTTGCTCCAGCTGGTGGGTAGAAGCCCTAGGAGCAGCCCAGGTCACAGGACAACCTGTGTGGTTCCAGCAAGCCTATGGAAGGCAGAGGGTGGGATGACCAGCTTGCAGGGTCTTGCAGGGATCTGAATATCTTAGTCCCTTGTGTCCAGCTCGCACACTGCCAGAGTCTTACCCATGGCCAGCTGCTCACTTGGTGACTGTGGGCAAGCTCTCTAACCTCTGAAGTACAGAAGAGGGGTGCTCTATGGAAGTGTTTGGGGTTTGGTTTAGTAATGATTGGCCCAACCTGAGTGCTGTACAAATGCCCTTCCTCTCCTCCACCTGGATGGTGGCCTCAAAACCACTTTGTGTTGAACTGACCAGTTTTCCAGTTTGAGTCATGCACTCATTCCAAAGTGGCAACATTGTAAAAATCTTTTTTTTTTTTTTTTTTGGATCTTTTTGAGACAGGGTCCCCCTGTAGCCCCAGCTGGCCTGGAACTCACTCTGTAGACCAGGCTGGCCTCAAACTCACAGAGATCCTCTCCTCTGCCTCCCAAGTGCTGGGATTAAAGGCATTCGCCACCATGCCTGGTTTTTATTTTTTTTTAATGAGTGTTTTTTTCTGCATGCATATAAGTGCACCACATGTGTGCTATGCCCATAGAGGCCAGAAGAGGGCGTCAGATTCCCTGGAACTGAAGTTATTAATAATGTTTGTCCCTTAAGCACTGAGCCATCTCTCCAACCCTATTATTGTGTAGCTTGGGTCGGCATGCACTCTGCCATTGAGCCATATCCCCAGCCCTCATTTTAACTTTTTATTTGGAGTCAGGGTCTCCTGCCATAGCCTCCCCAGTAGCTAGGATTCCAGGCCTGTGTGACCACACCTAACTTCGTGTTTTCTTGTTGACCATGGAGAGCTGAGACTTGCCAGCAGTCATCAAAGCAGCCCACATTGGCCCAGGCCCAACTTGTCTCTGACTCCACCCTGGATCTGGGGCCTTTCATTGAATCAAGTGTTTAGGACCTCAGTGTCACCCTTTGATGACCAGTAAACCCTGAGACTCCTTATGATCTTTAAAAGAAGAATAATCAAGAGAGAACCCATGAGTTGTGTTTCAGGAGGGGAGAATTTGAGAGGCACCTGGTTTGAGGTTGGGAGAGTTCAAATGCTAGCTGCAGCAGCTGTGTGCCCTAGGGCAAGGTTCTTGATCTCTCTGAGCTTTTTCTTCAGGGGGTTGAAGTGAGCATCCATCCATTCTACCATCAAATAAAAATGAGCAGGGTGCAACTCTGAGCACATGTAATCCCAGCTTGCAGGAGGCTGAGAAGTTCCAAGCTAGCTTGGGGTACACAGTGTGATCATCTCAATGATAATAATTTAAATTTTTTAAATTACATTTAAATTTATATTGTTTGCTTGGTGGGGACACTTGGACCACAGCTTGTGTGTGCTCACGGGGCAGCTTGCAGAGGTCAGTTCTTTCCTTCTACCATGTGGGTTCTGGGGATCTGAATCAGGTCACCAAGCTTGGTGCTGCCACCTTTACCTGCTGTGCTGGTTAGCTTTAACTGTCAATTTGACACAACCTAGAATCACCTGGAAAGAGTCTTGAGGGTTGCCTAGGTGAGGTCGGCCCATGGGCCTGTCCCTGTGTAGTCATCTTAATTGTCATGGAAAACCCACCCTGAATGTGGGCACTGTTTTATGAGTTGGGCCCTGATCTATAAGGGAGGAGAAAGCCAACAGGGTGGCAAGCAGACAGCATGGGGCACTGTCCCTCCGCCCTGACTGTGGATGGCCGGCTGTCTTAGGCTGGCCTCACACTTCCTGTAGTGCTGGACTGTGATCTGGACGTGTAAAGTAGTAAGCCCTTTCCTCCCTGTGGCTTTTTTGTCAGGTGTTTGTCACAGCATCAGAAATAATACTGGAACACCCAATAAGCCATCATGTGCCTAGTGATCAAACTTTGTAAAGGGTCAGATGTCTGCCCAAGCCTGGCCCTGTGCTGGGTATGGGCAGTGGTGGCAACCTGTCCCTCTGGAGGCTCCCCATGTACCCAGGGAGAAAATGTGTATGGGAAAGGGAGCTATTTGTGTTTATGTGGGGTGCCTTAGAGCCCTGGTGACCTGTAGAGGGCAGTGCTGGCTTGCTGTGGGGAGGCCCTTGGCCCACAGCTCTGTCAACCTGCTGTTTGTGGGCTGTGGGGAACCCTGGAGGGGTAGAGGTCGAGGCTGTGGCGTTTCAGCCTGCTCCTTTGCCCTCAGCCCAGAATGTGACCGTGGAGGAGGTGATCGGTGCATACAGACAGGCCTGCCAGAAGCTCAACTGCCGGCAGATCCCCAAGCTCCTCAGGCAGCTGCAGGTAAGGGGAAGAGGGGCGTGCGTGCGTGTGTGGTGTGGCTTGCCCAGTTGCTAAAATCATTTGGTTGTAAACTTAGAATTATATGAAGTGACAAGAAATGCTGGTGTCAGTCAAAGAAACTCTTCACCAAAGGAAAGCCGTGATTATAATTCCTGTAAATCTGAACACCAAGATTTATTCCTGAAAATGTGAATTACAAGCTGGGTGTGGTGGCAGACACTTGTAATTTCAGCACCCTGGAGGCAGAGGCAGGGGATCAGGAGTTCAAGGTCAGCCTCAGCTATACTTCAGACTCTGTCTCAAAAAACAAAACAGGACCCGGTGTGGTACACACCTTCAATCCCAGCACTCAAGAGGCAGAGGCAGGCTGATCTCTATGAGACTGATGCCTGCCTGGTCTACAAAAGAGTTCCAGGCCAGCCCTGGGCTACATAGTAAGACCCTGGTCTCAAAAAACAGAAAACAAAAACAAAACAGATAAATAAAAACGAACCCTCTCCAGCTGGGCATGGAGGTGCATGCCTTAAATCCCAGCAGAGGCAGGCCAGCCTAGTCTACATAGTGAGTTCCAGGACAGCTGGGCACCAAAAACAAAACAAAACAAAAAACCACTCCAAAACAAAAGCTCAAAGTCTGCATTTTTCTTCTTCTTTTAAATATAACTTGGGCTTGGTGGCTGATACCTATAATCCCAGCACTTGTGAAATGGAAGAAATATGATCAGTTCATCCCTGGCTACATAGTGAGTTTGAGGCCAGCCTGAGCTACATGAACCTTTATTTGCAAAACACAAAAAAAGCTAGGTAAATGTCCCTGCCAGCAAGCCTGACAACCTAATCAGAGTTTCATCCTTGAACCCACATGGTGGAAGGAGAAAACTGACTCTTGTAAGATTTCCTCTGACCTCCACATGTATGCTAATTGCCCATGCACAGACACATACATACACACAAACACAGAAGTGAATGTAACAAAAGAAGTTTAAATACTGATATGAAAAGCAAGATCCACTCCCAGGAGGCCCCAGGTGGGCTGCCAGTACTCGGGGTCTGTTGTACAAATTGTAGAAGGAGGGGTCTCTGGCTCCGAGAGATGCAGCAGAGGGCCGACTCTGCCTGCAGCTCTCCCCTGACCTCTTATGCCAGCTGTGTCGCTGGAGCTCAGCCATGCCCTCCGTCTGCTTCGATCCTAAGGTGTCTGTTTCCAGGTCACTGTTCCCCCAGCCAGCTGTGCTGTGAGCAGATGTGCACACTGCCTTCTCTGGGCTCCTGGACTACCTATATTCTGCAGGGTGACCAGAGGGGCCATCTTGCCACTTCCAGGGAAAGAGGGCCACTCTGTGTGGCCTCTGAGGAGAGGGTGAGGGCCAGCCAGACCTGTACCTCAGTGGCCAAGTATATTGTTAAGACCAGCCTAAACCTTTCTGTTCTGAGGCTTCATCATAGTGCCCAACCCTTGGGTGACATGTGAAGTTCAGAGAGGGGACCTGGCAGGTGTCGGGGCAGGTGGACCCCACCAGCAGAGGCTAGAGAGACACCTGGGTTGGTGCCTTTACTTTCTTTACTGAGCACCCTTGTGGGTCTGCCAGCTGTCAGCCTACCTACCTCAGTCCTTTGGTGCAGGCTCTTCTCTGGGCCTGGACATCCCCTAGAGATTTCATCCACAGAGACTAAGGCTACTAGCTTCAGACAGACTCATCCCATGCCCTATGGGTCCAGAACAAGCCCTGGATGTCCTCTGGACCTTTGCCCAGTAGCCTTCCCCAAACTCACCCCGAATGCCACCTCACTGCAGGGCATGGCAGAGCCCATTGGGTCTTGGCTGTGGCTCTTTTGGGTCAGCTTGTCTGTTTGGCTATCTTCTTGACCTGAATAATGCCCATCTGCTTTCTTAGGAGTTCACAGACCTTGAGGAACGCATCAACTGCCTGGACCTGAAAGGTGTGCATCCCCACAGGCTGGAGCAGCAAGGGGTGGGGTGGGAGGGATCAGTGGCTCTGGAGGGAGCTCCCAGCTCTTCAGGAGGCAGAGGCTGGAGGAGGAGGATGCCCTCCAGCACAGGTGCAGGGTCTCACACATGGCCTGGCTCTGCCTCTTCCTAGGGGAGAAGCTTGACTATAAGACCTGTGAAGCTCTGGAAGAGGTCTTCAAGAGGCTGCAGTTCAAGGTTGTGGACCTGGAACAGACCAACCTGGATGAAGATGTGAGCAGCCCGAGGCTACCTAGGCCCTCTGAGGTTTGGGTAGGGAGGGGGCCAGGGCAGGGCCTCCTAAGAGACAAGGGGGCATCTGATGTGACCAGAGCGGGGCTGAGGCCTGAGGAGTTGCGCAAGGAGGTGCATGTGGCCACCAGAGCTGTTCAGGAGCTGTCCTGGTTGTAATAAATCCCACGGGGCTGAGAAACGTGGAAAGTCCCAGCTAGCCAAGTGCCCTTGGGCACAGCTTGTTCAGGAGCTCCACCCTCCCAGGTTGGACAGGGGACACTTGCTGTCCTCACTCTGAGGTTGTGCCCTCCCAGCATTCTCGCTCCCCTGGAGATCCCAATGACACAGCCTGAGTGCTTCCCCTGGCCTCCTGACCTGAGACCAAGCTTACATGTGTCTGTCCCCAGGGTGCCTCTGCCCTCTTCGATATGATCGAGTACTACGAGTCAGCCACCCACCTCAACATCTCTTTCAATAAGCACATTGGTACCCGGGGCTGGCAAGCTGCTGCCCACATGATGCGCAAGGTGGGTACTTCACAGCCCTTGCTGGGTCCCCAGGATGGTGGGAATCAGCATGGGGAAGGCCTGCCCCAGGTGTACCCTTCTCACCACTCTCCCTAGAGTGATCCTTTAGAGATGACCATGTTGTCAGCCTGATTCATTCCTTCACGGGGAGGCTGGGGCAAGGAGGGGATGGAGCCATCCAGGAGGATCCCCAGTACAGGTCCCAGTGTATAAAACACAGCACTAGCAGTGGCCAGTGTGACACATCGCTTGCTCCATCCATACCAGACAAGCTGCCTCCAGTATCTGGATGCTCGAAACACACCCCTGCTGGACCACTCAGCGCCCTTTGTGGCCCGGGCTCTACGCATCCGCAGCAGCCTAGCAGTGCTGCACCTTGAGAACGCCAGCTTGTCCGGGCGGCCCCTCATGCTGCTGGGTAAGTCTGAGTCCTGAGAGGCCTGGGGGTCATGGGGGCTGCTGCTGGCCTGGGTCACCCAGGATGTGGCCTGGTCAGTCACCACCCCCACCCCACTCCCCAGCCACAGCCCTAAAGATGAACATGAACCTACGGGAGCTGTACCTGGCTGACAACAAGCTCAATGGCTTGCAGGACTCAGCGCAGCTGGGCAACCTGCTCAAGTTTAACTGCTCCCTGCAGATCCTGGACCTGCGAAACAACCATGTGCTAGACTCAGGTTTGTGGCGTCCTATCTCCGCTCCCATCCCACACGTCATCCAGCACCCCACTCTGCCTGACCCTGTGCTTTGTGGTGCTGGGAACATAGGTGTGACCTGACAGTGCCCTCTGAGGCTCACAGTGGTAAGGAAGACAGGCCTGCTTCCAGTAGAGACACCGATGGTGTGCCTGACCAGTGTTGGCAATTGGGAGAGGCCACCATGGGGCCCCAGGGCAGGAGCTTTCTCAGCCAGAGCATCAAGGGTCAGAAGTCAGGGCTTGAGCCTTAGGCCCAACAGGCCAGATGAGCAGAGGTGTCCCCTGGACAGACAAGGCTCTGACCTCCAGCCTCCCCTAGGTCTGGCCTACATCTGTGAGGGCCTCAAGGAGCAGAGGAAGGGGCTGGTGACCCTGGTGCTGTGGAACAACCAGCTCACACACACAGGCATGGCCTTCCTGGGCATGGCGCTGGTGAGTCCAGGGGGGCCCTTGCTCCTCGGCCCACCTCCTACCCAGCCCCGCAACACTTGTTCCGGCTCACCTGGCCTGGAGTTGATCAGCTCAGGATGTGATAACTCTTCTTCAGCATCTGGACCCTGAGTTTCTTTCTTTTCTTAAAATTATTACATTTTATTTGCTTATTTGTGTGCGTGTGCATGTGTACCACAGTGTACATGTGGAGGTCAGAGAACACCTGTAGGAGTCGATTTCTCTTTTTCTACCATGTGGGTTCTGGGGATCGAACTCAGGTCCTTAGACCACTAGTGCTGAGTCATCTTGCCAGCCATTGGGCCCTGTTTCTCTAATTGTCTTTTGACAACAGACTGCTTGGAACAGTGCTTTGCACACACCGAACATGGCTTAAAAAGTTAATTATTTCTGGAAGTCTTCGTAAGTGTTCAGTCTTTTCATTATTACATAATATATAAAGTAAGCCAAGCAGGTACAAACGCTCCCAGGGTGGACACCTTTGTGCCCAGTTTCCAGGTCCTCCCAATGAAAAGGCTGTCCTCAGGGTTCTTAAGGCCCACCAGAGACAGGCCCTGGTGAGGATGTGGAGACCGCCTGTGGATGTGGCTGCCTACACTCTTGCTGGAGTAGGAGGCTATAAACACTGGAGGGATTTGACTTCCCTGGACCTGGGTAGGGCAGCACCCTGCTCTGAGAGGCAAAGCCAGCCAAGGACAAAGGGTACAGACCTTGGCTGGTTTCCTGACCTACCCTTCTGGCCCTTTCTTCACGTTCCCACCCTTCCTTCCAGCCACACACACAGAGTCTGGAGACACTAAACCTGGGCCACAACCCCATTGGGAATGAGGGAGTACGCAACCTCAAGAACGGGCTTATCAGCAACAGGAGTGTGCTTCGTCTGGGCCTGGCCTCCACCAAACTCACATGCGAGGGTAGGGTGTGGGCCAGGCGCGCAGGGGCCAGTGGGCTCGGCAGGGTGGCCAGCCAGCCAGGCATGGGGCCCGTGGCCAGCCCCTGCGGTCCCCCTCCCAGGCGCGGTGGCCGTGGCCGAGTTCATCGCCGAGAGCCCCCGCCTCCTGAGACTGGATCTACGGGAGAACGAGATCAAGACAGGCGGGCTCATGGCACTGTCCTTGGCCCTCAAGGTGAACCACTCCCTGCTGCGCCTGGACCTGGACCGAGAGCCCAAGAAGGAGGCGGTGAGGGAGGATGCTGGCTCTGCCTGGGCGGGCAGGAGGCCCCAAGGGGTAGGACAGGATGGGAAGCAGGTGCAGACCACGGAGCCCTAGCCAGGCTGCGCCCCCTGCAGGTGAAGAGCTTCATTGAGACCCAGAAGGCGCTGTTGGCCGAGATCCAGAATGGCTGTAAACGCAACTTTGTGCTGGTGCGAGAGCGGGAGGAGAAGGAGCAGCTGCAGCTGTCAGCCTCCATGCCTGAGATCACTGTCACTGCACCCCAGTGTCTGGAGGAATCTGGGGACCTGCCAGCTACCGGGGCACAGAATGGGGCCCCTAGCTCTGAGCCTGGGCCTGGCCCAGACTCAGACTCGGACTCAGACTCTGATGGGGAGGAGGATGAGGAGGAGAATGAGGAGGAGGAGGACCAACAGGACCAGCAGAGGGAAGAGGCCAGCAATGACCAGAGTCCCTCAGTCCCCTGCCCTGCCCTGGTGCCCTCCACGGACTCCCTGGGCCCTGGGGACAGGAGCCCCCTGGGCAGTCCCTCCTCTCCCAATGAGCAGCGTATTTCTGTGTCCAGCCCAGGCCGGGGCCACAAGGTGTTTGTGGTAACCCGGGTGGAGAGTCCACCTGAGAGGCCAGAGCTCCCTATTCCCCCTGCCTTTGTCTCCTCTCCTCCACCCTCCCCTCCCTCCCCACCTGCCTCTCCTGCCCTTTTGCCATCTCAGGCCACAGACACCCAGGACCCAGAGTCATCCAAGCCTCAGCCCCAGCTGGAGCCAACTCAGGCAGGGCAGCCACTGCCCAACGGCCTGAAGCCTGAGTTTGCCCTTGCACTGCCCCCAGAGCCACCCCCAGGATTGGAGGCTAAGGGGGGCAGCTGCAGCCTGGAGCATGGTGAGAGGAATGAGGGGGCAAGGGAATGGTGGGCAGGAGGTGGTCCCCCATGCAAGCATCCACCTGTTGGTGGACCTCAGCTTCCATCCTTTAGAGTTGCTGGGAAGGGATACGAACAAGTAGGGTTTGGTCCTTGGTTCCCACTCTGGGAACCCAGTGTTCTCCCTAGGATGTGACCTGGCAGACCAAGGCAGGGGGAGGTTCTAGTGTGCTGCCTGTCCACTTCTGAGGAAGCCACCCCTGCTGCCCACAGAGCTTCACCTTCCCCAGGACGCCAGCAAGCTGGAGGAGCTGCTTCTAGAGGCCAGTCTGGAGGCCCCGAGGGACACACTGTGATACTACTGTAAGTAAATGCCAGCTGCAGGGACTGCAGAGGGAGGGCTGGGAGCCCCACTCTGATGTCCCCCATCTCTGCCCCCAGTTCCTTTGTGCCAGTCGGCCTGCGATGAGCCGAGGCCAGCCACGAAGATCTGCTGACCCCTGCCCGGTCCCCCAGGATGCCAGACAGGGTGTCCCGGGCTTCACCGCAGCAACACTACAGCCACAAGGGGCACAGGACTGGGAGCGGCTACCCAGACTTGAGCACTTATTTATGTGCCCGCCATTCCACAGCCTGGGGCCAGGGGAGAAGAGAGAGGACAGGAGGAGCTAGCTCTCCAGGGTCACCAGCCACTCTGGTCCTGGAGGATCCATGTGACCAGCCTGTCCTGGGATAGGTGGGAGTCAGGGCAGTGGTGGCATAGCCCCCTGGCCCATCACAGGACCTGGCTGGTGGTATGGGGCTGGCAGAACTTGCCAGTTGCCCTGGCAGGGTGGTGCCCTGGCAGGGTGGTGTCTTGGCAGGGTGGTGCCGGCAAGGAATAGAGCTTTCTTTTCTAAGTGCAATAAAATCTATCAGGGAGCTGGGCACCCAGCAGCAGGGTACTGGGACCCTGCTGCCCGGGCCACTGAGTCTGCGCCCTGATAGGCACTACAACAGTGGGCAGCGGGTGGGTAGCTGGGTTGGGTAAGGGCGGGCTGGGGCAGTACAGCTCTGTCACGCCTTTTCTAATAAATGGGAGTTGGGTTCACCATCTGCCTCTCTGCTCTGTCCTGGACCCAGGTGCCCTGGAGGGTGGGAGGGAGTCTTACAGAGCCCCTGCCCATTTGATATCCATGGTCCCTACAGGAAACCCAGAAGGCTGGACAGGCCTCCCACTCCGTCCACCCTCCTATCCTTCTACAGGTGAGCGCTCGCTCCCTCAGGCCAACCTGGGGCTTCCCAGCTCTTCAGTCTGGGTTGCCAAGGTGCTGGGTATGGGCTTAGCTGCAGAGGTCTCTCCTGGGCTCAGAGACAGCAGGTCCAGCCTGTCCTCTTGAGGCCATTTTTTCAGGCAGGAGTGTCTGTAGGTCCTGTGACCCACTATAGCAGCCACAGGATGTCATCGTAGCTACTCAGAAGGCTGAGGCAGGAGAAGCAGAAGTTCAAGGCCACCCTGCATACCTTAGATTCTGTTAAAGGTGAAAATATAAAAGCTGGAGGCAGAGATCCATGGTAGAGCCCCTGCCTAGAATCCCCCAGTGAGGGGCTGGGGTGTGGCTCAGTGACAGAGGGCTTTCCTAGCATGGGCAAGGCCTTAGGTTCAATCTCAAGCATCATAAAAAATGAAAAATAAGAACCATCTATGGGAAGGGCCTGGCTGGGCCACTCACCCACTGCCCTCCAGTGTGAAGAGGTGGTCAAGAGCCCTGGTGTTCTTTGGCTCCACAGAAACCCACAGTCTGCCACATTGAATGCATCAGAAGTATTTGTGTGTGTGTGTGTGTGTGTGTGTGTCTGTCTGTCTGTCTGTCTGTCTGTATGTGTAAGAGAGAGAGAGAGAATTCAGGTGGGCACATACACCATGGTGTGTTCATGAGAGTCAGAGAACTTCGGGTGCTGATGCTATCTTCCACCTTGTTTCCAGCAGGCCTGCTGTGATCCTCTGTTTTGTGGGCCAGGCTTCTGGCCATGAGCTTCCTGGTTCTGTCTGCCTCCCTATCCTCTAGGAACACTGGGATAACAGATGCTCGGGCTTCTGTGTCTGGCTTTTGCATGGATGCTGGGGATTTGACCGCAGGACCTCAAGCTTGCACAGCAGTGTTTTGACCCACTGAGCCATTTCCCCAGCCCAGAAGCCTTTCCTGAGACACTAGAGGCTTGTACTGTCACCTGCAGCTGTAGATGCCTGGCTTCTTAGGACAGCAGCCTTAGGACACCTCATTGGGAGTGGAACTTGGGGAAGCACTGTCAACCAAGCCATCTGTCCCATTGCATCCCTTGATTAGCTAGGAGACACCTGCTTGGCCAGCCTGTTTGAGTTCTGGGCTGTCATCCTTTCTGCTGCGGCCATGTGTAAAGTAGGGGTGGGAGGAGCCCCCTCCAGACTGTCCTGCTTCCAGCCCCTTCCTGGTAACACTGGGGATTGAAGTTTACCTTGGAGTTTTGAGGAATCAGTCTTGTCTGGTGGGGGCCCTGTTAGTACATCTAACATCTTTAGGGCTGTGGACAATATATTAAACCTCAGATGGCTCTGGCCCAATAGATGTGCCAGGAGAGGCTGGGTTCTTCTTCCTGGCCTTGGCTGTGTCTGAGTACACCAGCATTTAGCATGGTATGAAGAACTGGGGTCCTAACTGCTACAGGGTGATGTCTACTCCTAAGAGATGCTGAGGTCCTAATGCCTAGTGGCTCCACATATAACCCTGTCTGGAAATATTTTTCACTGAGGTAAACATTAAAATGTGTTCAGTGGGATGGGCCCCAAACCAGTGTCATTAAAATGCTTACAAAAGAGGGAACTTGGGGCTGTCGGCTGTGTCACGGTGCTTTTGCCTGGCATTCCCAGATCCTGGTTCCACCCTTAGCACCGCCATAAAAAGAAAAAAAAGTATAGCTGCTTGCATACCTGTAGTCCCAGCTGCTGGAGAGGCTGAGGCAGGAGGATCACTGGAGCTCAGGAGCTCAAGGGCAGCCTGGGAAGCACAGATCTATCTCTTACCAAAAAAGGAAACTGGAGAATATGGACACAGCCACAGACCACGGAAGGCCCAAGGTCCCCAGTAAAAGGCCGGCAAAGTTCTCTCTTGTCCTTAGAGCCTCCATATGTGGGCAACAATAAATACCTGCTGTTGTGGGCTCCTCAGGGTGTCGGCCCAGCGGCCCCTCAGAGCAGACGCACCAGTTCTGTAGAGCACAGCCTCTGCTTTCAGGGACCTGGGAGTGCAGAGCGGCAGAGGGGATTCCCCGGCTGTGTATTTCTTCCCTCTGAACTAGCCACTTGTCCAACTTTGGTTTGGTTGGGTCATTTTGATCAGTTGGCTGTACCTGATCCTAATGGACCTGATGCCCTGACACAGGAGATGTCTGGGGTTTATTTTGTTGTTTTGTTTTTGCTTGTTTGTTTAAGACAGGGTCTCCCTATGTAGCCCTGGCTGGCCTGGAACTCATAGGGGTCCACCTGTCTCTGCTCCCCCAGTGCTGGGATTAAAGATATGTGCTACACTTGGTAACGTGTGCGGTTCCCACAAAAGCTCTGTGGTGTAGGAACTAAATCCTGGTGGGCAGAGCCTTCTTAGCCTCACAAGCCACTCACATTTCATTTGAGTTAGCCAGAGTCTTAAGATAAAGTGGGCAGGGCACAGTAGCACAGTCAGGAGGTAGATCAGCAGTCCAAAGGTCATCCTCAGCTGTGTTCCAAGTGTGAGGCCAGCCTGGGCTGCAGGAGACCCTGTCAAAAACAAAAACTGGCAACAATCTGGAGCACCGTGACAGGCACTGCCTTCTCTTGGCTTGGTGGCCTTGCTCCTCCAACTCCAGTATCTGGTGACCACCAGTGCTCATCAGCCATCTGGTGCTGATCTTGAGACACACGTATTCCAGCCTCAACTCAGTGCAGAAGCAGCTCAACTCAGACTGGCCTTAGCCTGGCAGTGTAGAAGGGACACATCCTGACCTCCACAGTCTATATGAACATAGGGCCCTGTCAGTACTGTGTCTCTGCCCTCCAGCAGACAAGATCTCTCTTGCTATAAAACTTTGAGTTTTTTCCTTAAATTTTTTTATTACATTTATTTATTTTGTATGTATTTCTGTGTCACAGTGCATGTGTAGGTCACAGGACAACTTGGGGAAGTTGGTTCACTCCTGGGGCGTGAACTCAGTTCCTCAGGCTTGCATAGCAACAAGTACCTTTCCTCTCTAGCCATCTTGCTATCCTTTTAAATTTTTTTATTATTTGCACTTGGCTCAGCTGGCTGGGTACCTGCTGCATTGTCTCTCAGGACTGTGGGACTCCTGGGGGAAAGGGGTAGGGAGATGTTCTGACTGAAGCCCAGGCTGGGTTCTTTCTGGGACCTGGGGGAGGGGGTCCCCCAGGAGTCTGGATCTGAAGATACTGTGATTTGCAGGGAACCTCATCAAGGCCTCAAGACTGTCAAAGGTGGGATGCAGGGCAGGCTTGGCTTGTCACACTCCATGGACAAGATGTCCAACTTGGCTTTCTGCCTCCTCAGCTGCTGGGTGATTTGAAAGAACCCTCTGGGGCTGGAGAGTTGGCTCAGCAGTAAAGAGCTCTAGCTGCTCTTGCCGGGGACCCAGGTTCAGTTCCCAGCATCCACATGGTGGCTAATAACCATCTATAACTCCACTTCCAGGGGATCCAACACAGTCTTCTCTGCAGGCATTGTACAACATGGGTACACTTACATGCAGGCAATATACCCATGCACATAAAAATAACAAATTTTTTTAATTAAAAAGCAAAAACTATCATTAAAAAAAGAGAACTCTGTGCTGGACAGCTTTCTGCTCAGAAATGGACAGTGTAGACCTGCACAACCTCCCATTGAGGCTCTTGCTCTGGTCCAGTGCTGTCTTTCAGGTATCAGTGGACACTAATATACTGTGTGGAGGACTGTTCACTGTAGACAGGTGCTTAGATAAATTTCAGGCACTCAGGCCCTTGAAAACTGCAGGCCAATCAAAGGAGTGAGACCAAACAGCAGCTTCTATTTTTGTTGTTAATTATGTGTATATGTGGGGGGGGGTGGATGTGTGCATATGAGCACAGTGCCCGAGAAAGCCAGACGAGGGCGCTAGATTCCCTGGTGCTGGAGTTATAGGTGGTTGGGAGTTGCCTGACATGGGTGCTGGGAACTGAATTCACATCCTCTGTAAAACAGGCACCTTCTGAACTCTTGAGCCATCTCTCCAAACCCCTTTCCTTTTTTCTTTTTTAATTTATATTTATTGTATTTGTGTGTATGTGTGTTCCCACAAGTGTGGAGAGGTCACAGGAAAACTTGCAGGAGTTGGTTCTCCACCATGTCAATCCTAGGATTTAAACACAGAATGTCAGGCTTGGCAGTAAGTGCCTTTATCTGTTGAGCCATCCTGCCTTTGCTATGAATTTTTTTTAATTTTAAAATTTATTTTTATTTTATGTGTAAGAGTATTTTGCCTGCATGTAAGTGCACCTGTGTAGTGCAGTGCCCGAGGAGGATGGTTGTTAGTTGCCATGTGGGTACTGGGAACTGAACCCAGGTCCTCTGCAAGTACAGCCAGTGCCCTAAAACACTGAGCCATCTCTCCAGCTTCCCCTCACCCCCTTTTTACGGCTAGTTCTCACTATATAGCCCTGGCTGGCCTCAAGCTCACAGAGACCACCTGCCTCTGCCTTCTGGGTGCTGAGATTAAAGGCATGTGCCACCACACCCAGTAGCACTTACACACTTCTTACATGAGCTTAGCCATAGGTAGGCTGAAAGTCCTCTCTCCAGTCACATGGGGCCCTCTGACCTGTGTCCTCAGGCAGTAATTATGATCTAGGGAGTCAGGGATGTGCCTGGGATCTGACGACTGTAAGGCCAATGCCAGCAAGCTTTGGGCCACGTGGCCTGACAGTGGGCACCTTTGAAGAGCTCTTGGTTCCTGGGAAGAAGGAAAGGATACTGTCCTCAGTCCTCTCCAAAGCCCCTTGGTTGGGAGTATAGATCACTTGTCTAGAATCCACCAGTGAGAAGCTGGTGCCTGGCTCAGTGGTAGTTTCCTTAGCAAAGTCAGTGGCCATATTTTCCAAGTTGTTCAGCTTCCCCTTCTCTACATAAGAATTTCAGCTTGGACTGGATAGATGGCTTGGTGATTAAGAACACTGACTCCTCTTGCAGAGGGCCTGGGTTTGATTCCCAGCACCCACATGGCAGCTAACAACTGTAAACACCAGTTCAAGGGGATCTGACACCCTCTTCTGACCTCCTGAGGGCCTTGTACAACACAGGTGCACCTACCTACATGCAAGCAATACACTCAAAACAATAAAAAAAATTTTAAAAAAGGAAAATGGTCAGGTGTGGTGGTGCATGCCTTTAATCCCAGCACTCAGGAGGCAGAGGTAGGCGAATCTCTGGAGTTCAAGGCCAGCCTGGTCTACATAATGAGTTCCAGGCCAGCTGGGGCTACTGGGGAGACCCTGTCTCCAAAAAAGCCTACATAGTTAATTAATTAAAAAGGAAAAGGAAGTCATCCCTTGATCTCTGTCTCCATGTAGCTCAGTGTTGAGTCCTGAGGCTTCCTCTCTGCACCACAGTGCACAGACCTCCAGCCTGCCTGTGTGGCTGCATATTTGACCACTGAAAAATCAGAGCCAGCCCACAGGAGTGACAACCATCCCTGTCTCTGACAGTGCTGGCAGGGTAGGACCCAGCTGTAGTCTGTGCTCTCTGGCCAGGCTTTCTTCAGACTCTATAATCCCTCGTGTCCCAATCCCTGTCCCTCAACTTCCCTGTCTCTAGTAACCAGTGATGTGGATTAACCAGCAGTGACCTGTAAAACAGGCACCTGAATAGTTTCTCTTGGACAGTTACCTGTCTGGAGGTGGCAGTGCCACCTACTCAGCTGGCTGAGGCCTCATTAACCTACACACTGAGGGCTGAGCCACCCGCTGAGGTCACAGGCATCACCCTCAGAAATGCCAGTTCCCGCCCTGCCCGCAGAGGGCAGGCTAGGGTGTGGGGACAAAGGGCCTGAGATACCCTGAGGCCTGGGCACTCCCTTTGCCTGAGTCAACCTGGCGTCTGCCCTTCATCTCTCCAGCCCCCGGAGCCTCACCCACCGCCCCCACACAGGCCTCCTGCCACCCAGGATGCCAGCTTTAGCTGCCAGGAAGCAGCTCATAGGCCTGGCTTCCTCAGGAGGAAATGGGCTGGGCAGGGTGGGTACCCCCTCACCTAGCCAGAGAATCCAGGACATGAAGCTCAACCCCCGGCTTTCCACAGCTTCTTTTATTGCACTTGACCCCTGTGTTCCTCACTGGCCCTTCTGTACCTGCTCTGACTCTGGCACGGGCACAGTGTCTGGTTCTGGAGGCTACCACCTGCTGGCCTCTCAAGGTCGCCTGGGTGTGTGGCCACCCCAGGCCCCATTGATCTTGAGTTCAGCCCTGCCCCCACACCCTCATCAGGGCAGGCCAGGAGTTGATGCCACCTGCGGCTGCTAGCGTTTTTCAGCCTAGGCCCAAATGGCCTTCGTCCCCCCACAGTTAAGGGATCAGGCCATGGGCCTTGGCTTGCCCCCATGGGTCCGGTCCCGGGGGTGATGTGCTGCTTTGCTGTGTCCTGGCCCACCGCCCGCCTCCGATGCCCCAGAGGCGTTATTGGCTCCCGGGGTGGCCTGGGGGGCGTCCTGGGCTGGGGACTTCGGCGGGCTGGGCGGTTTGAGGGCGCTGACCGCCCTGATGAGACCCATGCGGCGGCGGATGGAATGGTCCAGGTTGACTGTGCAGCGCAGCAAGCTCTGCGCCTCAGTCACGGTGAAGGGGAAGTCAGCACCCAGGAAGCGCTCAAAGAGCTCCGGGTCACCATCCAGGTCCAGCACGTTCTGCAATGCCTTGGTCATGGTGTGCAGCTCTCGACTGTTGTCACAGAACACGTCCCAGAGGCGGGCACGACCCTCGGGCGCGCCCCCCGCCTGCTGTCGGTCCTCCAGGCATTGCAGCACCCAGCTGAGGCGACAAGGCCACTGGTTGGCGAGCACCACCCACGCCACGGCCTGGCGTGGCGTGGGCCCCATGCAGTCTGCCTGCTGTTGCTGTTGCAGCAGGCGCACGGTGATAGGCACCGTGTTGACGATGCGCCGCATGGACACCACGTTGTCGGGCACATATTCATAGAGACAGTCCCGTTCGTCGTGCAAGCAGAAGAGCGCCTCTTGGATGCGCCGGGCCGCCTCGGCGTCGATGCGACCCTGCGAGCGCTCGGCCCCCGTCTGCGTCTCCACCGCCAGCAGCTGCGCGCCCTCGCCCTCGTTCCCCGGCTGCCGCAGCTTGCGCGTAATCTCGCGAAACAGCAGGTCGTCGCGGCTCTGCACCGCGTCGTGCAAGAACTGAAGCTTGGTCCTACGGCCCATGATGGGCACCGAGAAGGGCAGCGTGACGGTACGGTTGAGGAACAGGTAGCCGTTATCTGCTGTACCCTTCATGTCACCCGCGTTTTCCAGGCACGCGGCCAGGATGCTGGGGTCCACCACCAGGATGAAGATGAAGGGCGCGTGGCTGTCGGACAGCAGCGTGTTGATGGCGTTGAGCACTCCCACCACGCGCTCCGGGTAGCACGTGTCCAGTCCGGTGACCTCCAGGACCACGCGCAGCCGGCGCCGCTGGTAGATCTCCAGGAAGCACAGAAAGTCGGTGAGCAGCTCCACCTCCTTCTTCACCTCGCACATGAAGCCCAGCTGGCTGCCGAACTTCTCCCGCGACACCAGTCGCTCGATCTTCTTGCGCTGGCTCACGAACAGGTGTTTGCCCACCGAGTACACGGCCATGAGCAGCCCGGAGCCGGACAGCGTAGTGGCCGCGCCTCCAAACACCTTGAGCAGGCTGCCGCTGTGGCCCGCGTGACCCGGACCGTGGCCCCCCAGAGACAGGTAGAGCAGACCCACGCCCAGGCAGAGCGCGGCCAGCAGGGCCAGCAGCGCCAGGCACACGCGAAGCCGGCAGTGCCACTCGCGCTGGCAGAAGCCGCGACTCCTGGTGCTCGGCTTGTTGCCCAGTACCGAGTAGACGCTGAAGGGCAGCGCGCCGTAGTGGTGGCGGATGCCCTCGCACAGCGTGGTCACCAGGCCGGCCCACAGCTTGTCGGTGCCCGCGTACTGCCAGGCGCTGAAGCGGATGAAGAGGAACTGCACGTTCTTGCGCCGCAGGTGCAGCTCGGTGATGATGGGCTGCAGGAACACCAGGTACCACAGCAGCTGCGGGACGCCCCAGCCGCGCACCGGCCGCGGCCGCCACTGCACGCGTTGCAGCTCCTCGCTTTCCCGCTGCGCCGCCTCTTGTTGCATCAGCGCTGCCAGGGGACAAGACCATCCAGTGAGTGGCGGACAGGCTGGGGACGGGGCTAAGACCAGGGAAGGGCGGGGCTAATTAACTAACTTCCGGAGCGTGGTACTCCTGCAAAGCCACGAGGAGCAAAGCAAGAGACCCAGGAGGCTGAGACTTCAAAAGCCTGGGCCTAAAGAGCCCTAAGCAGGTGCAGGAGGCGAGGCCAGGCAGTAGGTAGCTGAAGACCAGACTGCACAGGTTGGAGAGGCTTGGGAGGTCAAGAGTTACAAAAGTTAGGACCTCCGAGGAGGAGAGAGGAAGAGATTGGCAAGAAGGGGCGTGTGGAAGAGCCAGGACCAACTAGAGCCTGAGGGCTCTAAGATTCAGACCCAGGAGGCATGATGGATGGATGGGTGCATGGATGGATGGTACTGGTGAAGAGTATGAGGCAGCAGAACAGAGCCTGGGTCGTATTTCCTGAGCCCATTGCTCCCTTCCACAGGAACCTGTCCTTAAGCCACACTGGGGCAACAGCCCTCTGCCCTGCCCACTCTTGGTGTTACTGATGACAACTCCCCATCTTCCAGGGAGGGCAGGGTCCTTACTGTCACTTCAGTCACCACCGTATCCCTGAAGTACCACGGAGGTTCTGGCTGTGTCTGAACAATGGTGGTGAGAGGTCTGGGACAGGGCCTGAGAAGCCAGTGAGTGAGTGGAAACTGTCACCTCGCCCATTACCTAACCCAGGGCAGGAACTTCCAGAACACCCTTCTCCTTTATTATCCAGAGCTTTTTTCCCCACTGTGCCCTTGTGACAACACGGGTAGAATTGAATAGTCAGCAGGGCCTAAAAAGGCTCCTGGGAGTTATCAGACCTGAACTCCAGCAGTGAGTGAACTGGACCTAGCTGGCCAGGTTTCTGCTTATAGGCCCCATGGGAAGCAGGGGCCTGGGCTTCCTCCCTAGGGTACTATGGAGCACGAAGTTTCTTAAACAGGGGTGAGGTAGGAGCAGTGTGTATTTCAGGAAGATTCAGAGTGGATTTGGTGGAGGTGGAGGTGACAGGGAGAGGTGAGAGAGAACAGAGCAGGGACCAGAGGTTGTACCCCCTGTCCCCCACCCTCCTGCTGTACACATAGACACTCACTGGTGATCTTGTCCAACATCATATGGAGGCGGCAGCCGAAAGGAGCATAGAAGCCCACGGTCACAGGGACGGGCACATGGCACAGAGTCTTGGCCAGGCAGCTGCAGTAGACATCATCCTCAGTCAGGATGTCTGGGGAGGGGCAGGAAAGGGAAACTGAGTCAATGTGGCAGGCCAGGCACCTCCCTCCCTCCACCCAGGCACCCTCCAGGCCCCTAGCCCCAGCCTGCCACCTGTGTCCCCTCCCTGACTTCCCAATATGACTCAGGTCAAACGTGGCCTTCCAGGCATTTGTGCCCCTTCTGGGCCACATGTGGAGGCTCTGGCCCTGGACTCAAGGCTTGTCTGGCTTCCTTGGCCCTAGAGGATCAGGTCTGCCCGGCCAATTTGCCTGTGGCTCCCCTAGGAAAACTCTAAGGGGTCTTTCTTGGGGCACCAGGGCCTCAGATGCTAAGACACTGTTTTCCACCCTCAAAAGCTCCCCACACTTCTCAGCTTTGCAGTGAGCCTGTGAGCCACTTCTCCCTTGAAGAGACACTACAGAATCCTGAGGTCAAAGGGACTGGCCAATGCCCTTGTATCAAGTGGCTGTTTTGGGCACAGGTATCTGGTTCTACAAGGCCTGGTTCAAAGAATCACAATGTCCTCTCTGAGGAGGGCACCCTGTCCTGAGCGTTACTTCTTGGAACTGAAATTAGGGTATCTAAAAGATGGGACTCAGCTGTGGAAGCTGGGCTGTCTCAGAGGATGTGGGTCATAACTCAGCTACTTTCAGAGAGATCTGGTGGGCTGCAGGATGAGGCTGTGCCTGGTGAGAGATTGGGAAGGCAGAAGGAAGCTTAGGATGAGGTAAACTGAAGTGACAGCAGCCAGGGTGGCCCTCATCCCTGGCTGTGCCTAATCAATGGGTGACCTCACCTAATACAACCTCTTTTCCTTGAGTGGATGTCCTTGAATGGACATCCTGGCCCCAGGGCTCTAGGACCAAGGCCGTGCCCAACCTAGACGTGAGTCCTCCTTCATTATCTGTTGTTCTACTTTCAGACCACGACCTCCGGGCAGCTGCATGTCCCCATCTTTGCTGCCACCACCCCTGAGCCTGGCCAGGCTGCCAGCACCTCCTGGTGAATTCTGTGGCTGCCTGCCCCCCAAGTGTCTGCTGCTCTGATGACATCCCAAGCCTGTGCACATGCCTCCTGAGCTCAGAAGCCACCTGAGGACAGAACAAAAGGGGCGGCCTTCTTGCTGTCCTGAGGCAGGTCACCTCAGAGCCTGTGCCTTATCATGACCCTGATGTTGTCACATTAATGAGGCCTGGCGTGATGGTCCTGTTTCAAACCTGAGACCCCTTTGCTACCCTTGCCTTCCTAGTCTCCTCTGTGGTTGTCACCCTGTAACTCGATACTAAACTGCCTGTGCCCTGAGAGTGTCACATACACACACACACACACACACACACACACACACACACACACACACACACACACACACACACACGAGTGCTCCATACCTAGTCCCAGATGATTGAGTGGCAGGCGCCCACATTTCCCACATCACTGAAGGCTCTCTGCTCCCTACCTCTTCCTGAACCTCCAGTCTCAATCTGTGTCCCCCCACACCACAGCTGGCCAACAAGCTGCCCCAAGTCCTCCATATCCCTTGCCCTATGTCCTCCCTGGCCTTGTGAGCCAGGGGAGGGAGGGCTGGGAAAGAGAAAGCAGAGTCAGGGCATCAGCAGAGGGACAGGGGCAGAGGCACTGAGCACAGGCCTGGCCCAGAAGCCAGGGACCGCAATAGGTGAGGCAGAGACTCAGGGGCCAGGATGGGTACCCTCCTGACAGGGACCAGAGTATGTGCAGTGAGGACAGGCCCAAGGAGCCAGCCAGGGAGCAGGAGGCCCAGGCAGAAGCAAGGCAGACAGGGACGAAGCCCCAGAGGGAAGGCCTGGGCTGAGCACCGGCGCCATAGGCGGTGAAGGAGCCACAGGAGGCGGGCGCTGGCAGAGGCCGAGCCTCGGTGGGTTCGCTGGGCTCCAGGAGGGCACCGGCTGCTGTAGAGGGCAGGGCTGGGCCACTGCTGGCCATGGTGGGCACCACAGTGGGTGAGGAGGTGACAGGCATCAGGGGCTGCTGGGGGGCGCTGGCTGGTTCCATGGGGGCAGTGGCGATTGTGGGTGACCCCTTCTGGGCCCCTCGAACTGGACAAAGCCTCTGCCGCAGGGGGCTGGGAGGTGGGGGTGGGAGCTGCCGTTGCTGCTGCCGCTGCCGCTGAAGAATGGGGGGCTGGGGACCCCGGCGACAGCCGCTGCCACCCCGGTGGCTGCGGTAGGCCTGCTGCCAGTGAGCCTGGGGGGATGGCTGACAGGGCCCATGGGCTCGAGTGGCCACCGGGTCCTGGCGCCACTGACGACAGCATCCTGGAAGGAAGGAAGTGGGTGACTGGGACTGGGTCCCAGACCCCCAGTGGACACTGGCTCCAACCAGGTTGAACCTTAAGTTGAGGCTGGAGGAGGCTCCCAGGAGGGAGGGGGGCACCAAGGATGGATGGATGGTGGGTGGGGAAGGGACAGAGGGTCTGTGCTCTCTCCAAAGAGGGTGGGAAGGACCCTGGGTCCCCGGGGGTCCCCACTGCAGGGTTTGTGGGGGGCTAAGAAGAATTTACTAGGAGCTGGCCTGGCTGGTCTGGAAGTGGCCAGAGGGATGGGTGGTAGCCATGGAGGGGCCAGGCCTTGTTCTGCACTTCAGGCCCTTAGCTGCTAGGAGGCTGTCTCAGCCCTGGTGGGAGGTGACCTTTCTCTCCACACACGTCCACAAGAGCACCTGGGGTCACTGTGGGAAGTTAAGCCACTACCCAACTCAGACACACCTGAGTGGGGGGGGCCTCTTGTACATTCCCTCATCCCATCACACCACTTCCTCTCTAGGGTTTTTCTCTCCAGCCTAGGGACTTGAGAGCCTAGGGTTTTTCTCTCCAGCCTAGGGACTCAGCCTAGGCTCTCACCCCCAGTATAAACTCTACCCTGACTCAAGTCCTGTGTCCAAGCCCTGAACCCCGTCATGCTCAAGACTCTGGCATGGTGGCACACACCTGTAGTCCCAGATACGTGAGAAGCTGAGGCAGGAAGATTTCTGTTTGTTTTCTTTGAGACCAGGCTGGCCTCAAACTCACAGAGATCCACCTGCCTCTGCTTCCTGAGTAATGGGATTAAAGTCATGTGCCACTATGCCTAGTGAGGACTGCTTGAGCCCAGGAAGTTGAGGCCAGCCTGGGCTACAGAGTGAGACTGGTCCTCAGGACTGGTTCTCACTCTGTAGCTCAGGCTGGCCTGGAACTATGTAGCCCAGGGTGGCCTGGAACTTGTAGAAATCTTCCTGCCTCAGCCTCAAAGTGCTGCAACTACAGGCATAAGCCATTGAGTCTGGTGCATGTGGCTTTTCTCCCTGGCACCTGTGGCTCCACATCCATTCAGCACCCCATCCCCATGTCTCCCGGCCACAATCCCCACCCCCCAAATGGAGTCTTACCTTTTTGGTGCCCCAACTCAGGATCCAGAAAGTATTGCTCATTGGGAGTTCGGGCACTCTTGGTGAAACGGACATTGTAATTCTTCTGCATGGCGGGCTGTGATGTTGGGGAGCTGCTCCTGGGTAGAAGGGACACCCAGGCTCAGTGCTCAGCTTGGTGTGGTCCCTGCCTTGTTCCAAGATGACCCCCTGTGACCTTGGACAGGCAAGAAGCCCAGTCCAGATTGGGGTGGGGCACCTTGGGACACTGGAGTGGGTGCAGAAGAGAGATTGGCATGGCCCCAGGAGGGAAGGGTAGTGGTGGAGGGGGGATTGTTGGGCCAGGTGGGGAGTGCTGAGCAGCTGAGGGGAAGCTGAAGAGGGGCACAGAAGTTGGGAGGCTATGGGAGACTGAGGTGAGAAGCCACTGAGGTGACTGAAATTTCAGATGATTAAACAAGGAGGTGGAGAGAGGGGAGATCTGGAGGTAAAGTGAAATTGTGGCTGTCCGCCAAGAAGCCGGTATAACCTTGGGGGAAGCCGCATGCTTGGGGTTCAGGGAAGAGCCAAAGCCAAGCTGGGAAGGATGCTGTCTGATGGGTGGTGACAGGTAAAGCCCGGGGCAAAAGGAACCCGGTGATTACGGTTGTGGGCTAGGCCTGTGGCCCTGCCTGCACTGCCCCCTCCCCTCACCAGGCTGGGGTCCCTGTACGTACCTGGTGGTGGCCTCACGGCCCCAGCTCCCTGCCAGTAGCCCTGTGCTGCCAGGCCAATCCCACAATTGTCAGTCCGCGCAGGCCCGCCTGGAGCTCAGGGCTGCCCGCCTGACCGGTTCTCCCACCTGTCCCCACCCTCTTGGCAGGCACCTGGCCTGGTGCTCTCTAGGACTGGATGCCCCTGACATCGCCACCCTGAACCCAGGAGAGGGATGGAGTGGGCCCACAACGATCCTCACACAAGCTCGCTGGGCACCCCTGACCTGCTGGGGGCGGGGGCCGAGGCAAGAGACGGACCCCACAGATACAGTCTGCAGATTCCTCCCAGGACTAGCTGTGTGACTTCACCTCTCTGGGTCTCGGCTTCCTCATTGCTAAATGGGCCAGGTTGTCAAGAGGAAGAGTTCACCCAGCCCTTAGTGACAGCACCCGCTGACCCATTTACCATGAGCTGCTCTGGATGCTTCACATAGAACCCTGGCGACAGAAGGTGGCAGCAGACGCAGGGGGCAGTTTCCTGTCTCAGCAGCCTCCTTTATCATCACAGTCTATGGAGCTGTGGTCTTGCCTACTTTGCAGATGAGAAAACTGAAGCCCAAAGATGCAAAGCCCCTTAATCTGGGCCATACCGGCAGGTTGGGAAGTTAAAAGGAGGCAGGGCTTACAGGGGCCTGTCCCCTACCTACCCAGGCCAGGGTGGTTCTGGGCAAGGGGATGCTCGATACTGTGGCCCTCTTTCCCGGCATCAGCTGCCCTCTGCTGCCAGGGCCACACTTCCTCTTGCCACAGTGAAGATTCTTGGTGGTCAGTCTTTCTAGACTATTTGGGGAAGGCTACCTCTCACCCCAAGTCTCTGGCCCACCAGGGAGGCAGAGATGAAGTGTCTGCTGGTGAACCTCAGGGAGGGGCAGGTATGGAGTGGGTCAGGGGATAATGTATACAAATTGGGGGACCCAGAGCTCATTTGTGGAGATGTGGAGGGGCAGGCCAAGGACTACAGAGGTAGACGCCCCACCCACCAGTGCTTTAAGGAAGGAACTCAGCTAGGCTTGATGGTACACACCTGTTATCCCTACACTCAAGAGGCCAAGGCAGGAGGCTCCCAAGTTCAAGACCAGTATGGACTAGATAGCAAGACTCTGACTGATTAAAAAGTCAGTTAGGTGTGGAAAACAGAGGCAGGTGGATCTCTATGAGTTGGAGGCCAGCCTAGTCTACATAGCAAGCTCCAGGCTAGCAAGGGCTACATAGTAAGACCTTGTCTCAAAGTAACAACAAAATAGTCAGGTGTGGTGGCGAATGCCTTTAATCCTGGCACTCTCAGGAGGCAGAGGCAGGTGGATCTCTGTGAGTTTGAGGCCATCCTGGTCTACATAGGGAGTTCTAGACTAGTTGGTGCTACGTATATATATATATGTTCTTGGTGGGCAGTCTTTCTAGACTATTCGGGGAATAGTCTAGAAATGAATGGCATATATATATGGCATTCATTCTTAGCATTTGGGAGGCTGAGGCAGGATGCCCACCTACAAGTTTAAGGCCAATCAGGGCTACATAGTGAGACCTTATCTCAAAAACAAAAAGAAGGGGGGGGGGGTTGTCAGATGCCTCAGTAGTTAAGAACGCTTACTGTCCTTTTAGAGGCCCTGAGTTCAGTAGTCACATACAGGAACTGGAGAGATGGTTAAGAGCACTGTCTGCTCTTGCAAAGGATCTGGGTTGTTTCCAGCACCCACATGGTGGTTAACAACTGTCTATGACTCCAGTTCCAGGGGATCAGATGCCCTCTTCTGACCTCCATGGGCACTGCATACATGTGGTACACACAATACAGGCAACACACACACACAAAATAGAAGTCAAAATCAAAATTAAAATCTTTTTTAGGACAAGGGACCCGTCTTCCCGTCCTTGCTACACTGGGGTCAGGGGTCTCAGCCCACTTCAGTTCACAGTCCTGAGGGAGGCCTGGGTGCTCTGTGTGCTCCCCCACTCGGCAGCAGGCAGCAGGGCCCAGGCTCAAGTTCAAGCACTGCCCCAGATGCTACACATCTGATTGGAAGGAGGTGGCAGGATGAGGCTTGGTCCAGCATGTCCTGCTGGGCAGCCCCAGACTTGTCAGCTGGCAGGTGCTGCAAGCCGTGGGCTGGGCTGGGTATGCATAAGGAGGTTGGCGAGCCCCAAAGATCAGGTCACAGGTCAGGGCAGAGAGGAATGTGTGACAGACACTGCACAGATGTCCCCACTTGCACTGAGTCTGTTTCCACACACACCAACCTTTATTGAACATATGTTACCCTGATGATTTCAAGTCCCTCTGTGCCCATTCTGACAAGTATGGGGCCACTTTACCTCCCAAGACACCTCCCTCAAATCCCCTTGTCTGGAGTATGTGTGGCACCCCCCCCCGCCCCAAACATGGGACACCAGCTTCAAGGTTTGCAAAGGCCACTGAGCCGTGCCAACGTCTCCTGAGGCTGGGGTGCAGGGAGCCCATAGGGCTTCAAGATTTCTGAATAACCACCTGGAACTTACCTAGAAGGGAAGGGTGGCCTTTAGCTGGGGGCTGGGGGAGACAGAAAGCCCTGAGCAGGCTGGCTATTCCCCCTACCCTACACCAACAGCCAGGGTGGCCCCAGTAGTCAGTGGGTCACCGCCCCCACCCAACTGGCCGGAATCCTAGACTGCCTGGGAGCCCAGGGGCAGGAGGCAGGGAGGGCTGCCCCAGCTCCTGAGCTGTCCACTCAGCCCGGGTCCACTCAGTGGCCTGGGGAACTGGAAAAATGACCAGGATAGTCCAGAGGGAGTGAAGCTTGGCTATGGACTGCCTGGGGCAGGAATGGGGCTTCAACTGTCTATTGGGGAGTGGGTGGGTCTTTGGCTCAAGAGTGCTCTAAGTGGTCAGGATGACAGTCAGACCGGCTGTATGTTCCCACCTGTCTTTAGAGCCATCAGGTAACCTGGCCAGGATATCTAAGCTGTCTCCTTGGGTTCTGAGCTGGAAGTGTTTGAAATTATCAGCTGAGTCTGATTAAAGAGGCACCCTCCAGGGATGCAGGCTGGGGACATGGACAGGTACACATTAGTTGTATGACTGGAGCAGGTAACTGAACCTCTCTGGGCCTCAAATTACATATGAGATGGAGCTTAGCAGACTGGGCTCCCTCCCTAGCAATGACAAGGGGACAGGCACAGGGGACCCCCAACCCCTACCCCAGCAACTCACAGGCCGGCAGGGTTGCCACAGAGGCGGTGACCTGGCTCTGGAAGCCCAGGGTACTGAGGGCGCCGCACAGAAGGCCACAGGTGAAGGCCAGGAACTGGGATGGGGACACAGATGGTTGTGGGAAGAGGGGAAGCCAGCCCCAGCCCTGGGAGAGGCCTAGTGTGAGGGAGCAGAGGGGCATGCCCTGACCCCCTGACCCACCTTAGGTGCTTCCTCCAGATACTGTGGGCCGGAGCCCATGGGAACAAGGAGGGGAAAGCTGTGGTCCTGCAGGACATAGGTCCCCTGGGCAGTAGAGGAGAGTTAGTGGGGCCTGGGTCTGGGCCCTCAGAGTAGGGGTAGAGGAACCAGGAAATGGGAGGACCACAACACCCCCATAGCCAGATACCCCACCCTTCAGAGCCTTGGCATCCGGGAACCTGTGTCCTGCCCCCTTGGCTGTGTCCCTCCCTCCTAGGGTGCTAGGAGAGGCTGGAGCCCTGGCCCAGGAAGTAGTGGCTGGGGACTAGGCACTGTGTGGGTGTTCACTAGGAAACACAACCAGTCTAGGACAAGAAGCATCATGCCAGGACCAGCTGCTGCCAGCCTCACTGCCTGCGTGGGTCTCACATCTGGGAAGCAGGTGTAAATTCTGGAAATCACCCTGCTTCCTGGCCGCAGCCCTGGCTTCTTTTAGGAGCCCCAAAAAGGGACAGATGATGATATGGGGTTATGTCTCTCAGGTCCCCAATGGGCCAGCTGTGACTTTCCCCTGTGGGGTTTCCCCCTCCCTGTTCCCCTTCCCCTTCTTTCTCCACCTACTGCCTGTACCCTGAGGGCCAGGCTTTGGGGCCAGACCCTGGGCACATACCCACCTGGTGATTGGTACGCAGCCCATCCATCTGCTTTCGGAACACAGCCACCCACAGGTCTCTGCACAGGAACTTGAGGACATCCAGCTCTTCCCTAAAGGCCAATGTCTCCTGGGGCAGCCTGATGGTGTAGGACAGGCACAGGGGCAGGCTGGGGCCAAGGGCCCCCAGGTGAGGAGATGGCATGAAAATAGGCTCAGGACATGTGTGGGGCCATGCAACCTTCCCCACCCTAGATGCTGCCGGCAAGAACCCAGCTTCTGGTCTATCTACCCTCCTGACCAGCAGGGGAAGGTAGGTGGGCTGGCTCTCACCTCTCAGCCAGTGCCTGACCCACACGGAAGCCCAGTCCCTCCAGGACTGACAGACTCATCTTCCATCCCTAGAAGGCAAGGAGGGAGTGGGGCTCAGAGAAGCACTGCAGGCTTCCTCCCCAACCCACTCTTCCCTTCTGGAAGGCCAAGCTTCCAGATCTTTCTGAGTCCTGGAAGCTGTCCTTATCTCCTGCCCAGGCTGAGTCCCTGTCTCAGCCTCGCCTGTTGTGTTGTTCCTGGGAGGGGGGCGGGTAGCTGACCAGTTCACCTAGGTTCTCTGGGGCAGTGCAGGGCTAAGCAAGACCTACATACTACAAGGATGCCCAGCCAGAAAAGGGAGGACTCGAGTGTGAGCAGGCACAGATGCCAGCTGCTTGTAGGAACGTGGCTTGCATCTAACAGCCCCACAAGACTAGCTGTATGTCGTACCTGGAAACACACTGAAGGGTTAAAAACCTGCCATAAGCCAGGCACGGTGGCGCACGCCTTTAATTCCAGCACTTGGGAGGCAGAGGCAGGCCTATCTTTGTGAGTTTAAGGCCAGCCTGGTCTACATAGTGAGTTCTAGGATAGCTGGGGCTACAGGGAGACCCTGTCTTAAAAAGACCAAAACAAAACAAAACCTGCCATAGACCCACTCAGGTGGGACCTGGCAGTGCAGGCCTGTCATCCCAGCTACATGGGAGACTGAGACAGGAAGATCATGAGTTAAGGCCTGCTTGACCTGGAATAGAGTAAGTTCATGGCCAGCCTGGGCAACTTAATCAAACCCTATCTCAAAAGAAAAAATGGTCTAGAGAGATGGCTCAGCACTTAAGAGCAGTGGCTGTTCTTACAGAGGATCTGGGTTTGGTTCCTAGCACCTAGCACCCACATGGCAGCTAGCAACCTTCCGTAACTCCAGTTCCAGGGGCTCCAACGCCCTCTTCTGGCCTCCACATGCATTGCACACATGAGGTACACTTACATACATGCAAGCAAAATATTCTACTGTATAAAATAAAAAATTAAAAAAAAATTTGCTGGGCGTGGTGGTGCACTTCTTTAATTCCAGCACTTGGGAGGCAGAGGCAGGCAGATCTGTGTGAGTTTGAGGACAGCCTAGTCTACAAAGCGAGTTCCAGGACAGCTGGGGCTACAGAGAGACCCTGTCTCAAAAAGACAAAAAAATTGTTTTAATTAAAAATAAAAGGCTAGCTGGGTGTGGTGGCGCACACCTTTAGTCCCAGCACTTGGGAGGCAGAGGCAGGTGGATCTTTGTGAGTTCGAGGCCAGCCTGGTCTACATAGCAAGTTCCAGGACAGCTGGGGCCACAGGGAGACCTGTCTCAAAATGACAAAAAAAAAAAATAAATAAATAAATAAATAAAAATAAAAATACAAGGCTGAGTATAGTAGTACAGGCTTGTAATCTCAGCACTTGGGAGGTGGAGGCAGGAGGATCAGGAGTTCAAGGTCACCCTCAACCATACAGGGAATTGAAGTTAGTCTGAATTATATGAGACCCTGTCTCCAACAAACAGCACATTACAAAAAAGGTTTAGGAGAATGGCTCAGTGGCAGGGTACTTGACTTAGCATGCCTGAGACGCTGGATTCAATCTCCAGTACCACAAAAAACAAAAGGCCATGTCAGCCCCAGATCAGCTCCTACACGGGAAGCTGCCCTGGCTCTGGGGAGGTGGCAAGGGCTGACTCAGCAGCTGGGGAGCACTGAACAGGCCTGGGCAGACAGCACCTGCATTTCAAAGAAAGGTGCTAACCGGGCATGGTGGTGCAGGCCTATGATCCAGCACTTGAAAGGCCAAGGCAGAAGGATCACAAATGGGAGGCCAGCCTGGGCTACATACCATGACCCTGGCTCAAAATTAAAAAAAAAAAAAAAAAAAAAAAAAAAAAAATGGCTGACACCTTTAATCCCAGCAGAGGTAGGTGGGTCTGTTTGAGGCCTGCCTGGTCTACAAAGCAAGTTCCCTGGGCTACAGGGAGACCCTGTCTCAGAAAACCAAACTAAATCGAATCAAACCAAAGCAAGGTGCCTGTTACACATGTCACTGAGCCACAGACCTTGTGTGACAATGCTGCTGTCCCCCTGTAGGGCCATGGTGGGGTGCTCTACTAGCATCCTCAAGCACACAGGCTGCTCAAGGTTTTGGTGGTGGATCATGGGTAGGAGACAAGTGCAGTGAGGGAAGGGCACTACCCCTACCCCACACAGCATCCCCATCACCCAATCTCTCTCAAAATGGTGCCTGGGGTCGGGGGTACACTGCCCGTACCTCAGTTTCTCCATGAGTAAAAGGAGGGTAGTGCTAGTGGCAGTCTTTTGTACTCACAGAGATCATCTGCCTCTGCCTCCAGAATGCTGGGATTATAGGGATGCACCACCATGCCCAGCTCGTGAGTTGGCCTCTTAAGCTCTACTGTGCCCTGTATGGTACCTGTGTCTGTCAAAGGAGCCTACAAAGGAAATGTTCCAGGGTTCTGCACCGCAGCACATATAATAGTCTGGCTGGGGGGAGGGGGGACCCCTGCTTCCCCCAGAGTTGTGGAGGAGCAGGGCCAGCTCTGCCCTGATGGAGTGTACCAGGGTCTCTGCTTGGGAGGACTTCCTAGACTGATGAGGGAAGGTCCATGTCCCATCACTCCGGTGTCTTGGATGCCTGTTCACCTGCCATTCAGAGTCGGGGCGAGAGGTATCTAGAGATGCCCACTGACAACCTGGTTGCAGGTTCAGGGCAGGCCTGCTAGCCTGGCTAGGAGAGCAGAGGAGCCCCAAAGGGTGTCCTGCAAGTTCAAATCTTTCTTTCATGCTGCCTGGGATGGAATCTGGCCTCTACCACATACTGGATGTGTGCCCCAGATACAGTGCTCTTGTGCTCACTTTCCCCACACAGGCTCATGGCACCACCTACTCACAGCAGTGGTGACAAACCTGTATGAAGCTGTTGTGACTGCTGGCTTCCCTGTGCCTGTCCCTGGGATCTACTGATCTACTGAACTAGCCAGGCATGGTGGCGCATGGCATTAATCCCAGCACTTGGGAGGCAGAGGCAGGAGGATCTCTTTGAGTTCGAGGCTAGTAAGTTCCAGGTCAGCTGGGGCTACAGGGAAAACCCTGTCTTAAAAAGACCAAAAAGAAAAAGAAAAAAAAAAAATCTGCTGAACTGAAAAGACAGGAGTGGGGATCTGGACTGGAGAGATGGCTCCGAGGTTAAGAGCACTGGCTGCTTTTGTAGCAGACCTGTGTTCAGTTCCCAGCACCCATATGAAAGCTAACTGTCTATAACTATAGTTCCAAGGGATCTGACGCCCTCTGCTGGCCTCTGTGGGCACTGCACATCCATGGTCCACATACAAAGAAGCAGGCAAGCAGGGTGTGGGGCAGACACCTTTAATTCTAGCACTTGGGAGGCAGAGGCAGGAGGACCTGTGAGAGATCAAGGCCAGCCTGGTCTACATAGTGAATTCCAGGCCACCTGGGACTATAGGGAGACCTTGTCTCAAAAACAAAAAGCAAACAAAACCAGGTATCAACAACACAAAAAGCAGTCTCCCATAGCAGGTCCCTGCACTCCCATGTAGAAGGATGGGAAGGACAGTATGGCACCTGCCATGCATCTGGATGGAGGAGGACTTTCTAAGACAGGATAATCAGGCCACATCCATACTGACTTCTTGATTTGGGATGGTCCCAGTATGGGACTCTCAGTGACAGCAGTAGGAGCTACAAGGAGGATCCTGTGGAGCTCGTGTGCCCTGCTGGTGACCACAGAAAGCTATTAAAACCCTTTGTTGAGAGCCAAGGCAATGCCAGGTGTGGAAGCAGGGCCTCAGCAGCATGCCTGACTGGCTCCCAGGAGGCCTGAGTACCTAAGGTCAGCCTCTTCATGGATGTGGGTCAGGCTGACCTCTCTGGGGTGGGGTTGGAAGATTGAATACAATGGGTGTGACACCCAGAACAGCATATAGGAACGTGTAAGTGGTTAAGAGCCTTTATGGACTACAATACTGGATTCATCCAGCCCCCACCCTCTACATCACTGGGTGGCTCTTTATTCACTACCAGGGCAAATTCATACTAAGGACCCACTGTGTATTGGGGTGTACAATGGTGATCAGCACAGACTATTTCGGCCCACATGGGGTCAGGCAGGGGGGTAACATGTGAATCAAAAGATCATAGGGGGGACTGGAGAGATGGTTCAGCAGTTAAGAGCACTGGCTGCTCTTGCAGAGGACTGGGGTTTGATTCCTAGCACCCACATGATGGCTAATAACCATCTATAACTCCAGTTCCAGGGGATCTGATGCCCTCTTCTGATCTTCTCAGGCACTACATGACACTGGTGCACTTACACACACAGGCAATACATTCAAACATATAAAAAATAAATAAGCTAAGCGTGGTGGCACACACCTTTAATCCCAGCACTTGGGAGGCAGAGGAGGGCAGATCTCTTTGAGTTTGAGGCCTACATAGTGAGTTCCAGGACAGCTGGGGCTACAGGGAGACCCTGTCTCAAAAAGACAATAAATAAATAAATAAATA